TATCTTTTTTATTTACAATGGGCAAACGTTGTTTAAACAAGAAAAACAAGCCAGGAGCGATGGCACATGCCTGCAATTCTAGCACTGAGGAGGCTGAGGCAGGAGGAATGCCAGCCTGGGCTACACAGTGAGTTACAGGCAAGTTTGCACTACAAAGGGAGACCCTGTCACGAAAAGCAAAACAAAGCAAAAATAAGAAATACAAACTGTAAGGGTGATGCTAGGTGTGGTGGTCCACACCTGTAATCCCAGCACTTAGAGGCTGAGGCAGGAGGATCATGAGTTCAAGGACAGCCTTAAACCACATAGGGAGAAGGAGACTTTGTCTCAAAAAAACCAAAACAGGGCTATTGTGGATTTCCTTACTATAGCCCCCCTGTTTTCTTTATCTTGCTTTTTCGAAAACTCTTTTTACTTAGCTCTGCAAAGCCAGTTTCTACCTCAGTTTTAGTTTTTCAAATAAATTTTGCCACTGCTTTCAAAAAAACAAAACAAAAAGACCTAAAGGAATCAAACAAGGTGTACACGTAGTGCAAGTGGAGACTGTGTTTCATAAACACAAGTGAGAATGAAAAAAGACTATTATTATAATATTAATTCTGTGATTTAAAAGAAAATATACCTTCTGAGTTTTTGTGACTCTTCACATGTCTTATCCTAAAAATTATACACAGCAAAATGGAAAGCAAATAAAAATTCCTACAACTGATACTAAATACACAAAAAATTTCCTGTAACATCTAATTTATATACAAATTGGGAAAATTACACTGGAGACTAGGCAGAATTCCCACAAGTGTGTGGTGGTCACTGGAATTGCTCAAATGAGTAAGAGTTTAAAATATAACGTCTTAGCATTGGGGAAACAAGATAACATTAAACAAGTGTTCACCCCTAGAAGGAAGGTGCCCAACCCAGAATGGGGACAGCTCATAGTCGATTTGATACCTAGTATATTGGCTCAGGCTACAGGAGTCCTAAGGATTTAGAAAATTCATACGAACATGAGTGGTAATCTTGGGAAAGTGTTTCTTTTAGGATAAATAGGCACTTTAGAAAGTAAAATAACTGTTCCTCGTAATAAACACTCCATTGAAAAAACAAGAGAATCAGAGAAAAGTTGAAAAAAAAGTACACTGTAATTGAGAAAACTGCTCCTCACCATAACAACAGAAGAGGGCACTCTTGAGCTGAAAAACCAAGAACGAACCTCAACTCATCCCCATTCTCTATTAAAGGTCTATATGTTAAAAGTCCAGGGGGGAAAAGTCCAGAAAAAAACCCAACATATTCAAATATGAGTAACAAAAATTCAGTATTTATACAAAGCCATTATGAGGAAAAAACAAACAAGAACCACAAATTATAACAGATGAAAACATTAAAAAAAAAACAGTCTCAGAAGTAGAAATCTCAACCAAACTACAATGCATACAAGTGTAGAGGACACTCTGGTGTGTCCTCAGATAGCTACCCACCTTAGGACTAAAGCACTCACCTTCCTAGTTACTGTCAGTGTTGGTAGCTGAGTCCTTCTCTGATTACTTCTGTTAGCTAAAGAAAAGCTTACCCGAGGTCACATCCTCTCCTCAAAGGTTCACACACAACAGTGACTGGTGCCCATGCCAGGATACAGACACCATAAAGGCAGCTGATCCTGAAGGGCCAGCCCAGCTTCAAAGCTCCCAATGAGATCAGCTAAAGCCTTGGTTTCAATTGCTTCTGTTGGCTTGTGAGGACCAGTTCCATTTTAAGGAATTTTACAAACAGGTTTTTAACACAGCCATTATTAAAACAAATTACATATAAACTTAAGTAAATTATAACCAAAACTAGGTAATAAACATTCAAAATGTATTACTTCCTAGTTATTTTACTATATTTACTGATATCTATGCTCTAAAGGTTGTGTCTGCTATATCTGAATGGGTGCTACTATGTATTTCTTCCTAGCTCTATGTTTGCTGACATTATTAGTTTAAAATTAGCCATTTGATGCTAGAATTTGTCAAATATTATAGATCAAAGGCCCCTTCACAACTCTGGTTAAACATTCACTAGCACATCGTAACTGCAGCTCTGCTGCTCCTTCTGTCCAATCTTTTCTCTACTTTGTCACAACTATTGATCCCATGAGTACTTGGTTAACACACTGCATGCCTACGCATGTTTCCTAGAGTCTGTGTCCCAGGAATGTAACCTAAATCAACAAAAAAGAAGAGCTAGGACCAAATGAATGTGTGTGTGTGTGTGTGTGTGTGTGTGTGTGTGTGTTCACGCGCATGTAATATTATAATAGATACTATATACATATAATTTTTAAGACAAATTCTTGCTATATAATTCAGGTTAGCTGTGAATTCACTACCATATGTAGCCCAGGCTAGCCTTGAACTCATGATCCTCCTGCATGAGCTTCGTGAGTGCTGGGATTACAGGCGTGTGCCACCACACATAACCCAAATGCATGGTAAATAGAAATAAGAGCCGGGCATGGTGGCACACACCTGTAATCCCAGCACTCAGGAAGCTGAGGCAGGAGGATCGCTGTGAGTTCGAGACCAGCCCAATAAAAAAAAAAAAAAAAGTAAATAGAAATAAGAAACATCAAGAAAAGTTAAACAAAGAGATTAAAAAGATCAAAATCAAAGTGATATGAAACCAGACAAATAAGATCCAACATACATACTTTTGGATAACCTGAAGAAGAAAATCAAAATAATGCAACAGAATTAACAGTTACAACTATAATTCCAATTCAATCACACTTTTCCAAGGAGGAAGAAATAAAGCTTGAATCTACGTATACCATATACCAAGTTAAATAAACCCATACTGGCCAACTCTTAGATAAAACCCCCCAAATTAGTATATGTCAATATAAAGAAGTTACCTAAACTTCCTAGTAGAAAGATCAATTCACTCTCTAAGGACACTAAATCAGTTTGGCATCATCAACAATACACAAAGGCAGAAAATAGTAAAGCAACATCTGTAAAGTACAATAATGGAAAAATATACCCCCCAAATTTAAATGCCAACAAACTATCCTGTAAGTAGCAAGACTAAAAAAGTTTTCAGTATGATAAACATCAGAGACTGTTATAGGCACGAGTTTTTCATGAAAACAAACTGTACCCTTGAGAGGACAGAAATTTTCAGCAGAGAACTGGTGGTGAACAATGAATATATTTAGCTGTATATCCAAGACTACAAGTGGAGAAAAGAATAGTGATGGGGCTCAGGACATGCTACACCTAAGTATGGTACCTTGGCATCTGAAAATACAGCAGAAGCAGAAAGGTCACTTTTACCTTCCCCCAACCCTTTACCTGTGAAGCAAGTCATAAAACCTTCATTTGAAAGGCAGCCTCCTTATACCCAGAAGCAAAGAACATCCTTATCTCTGAAGACAGGGACATAAAGAATCTGAAGAAACAGGTTTCACTAAATTCCCTCCATGCATTTCCACTAGATTTTATCCCTCAGCCCCCAAACATACTTTCCCATGACTCTCCACATTTCTAAAACACACAGGGTTCCCTTGGGCCTTTACTTGTGAAGGCTGCCATATCATGTAAAATACATGAAATAATTTTGTGTACTTTTCTCATATTGTTTTTCAGCCTGGCATAGTGGTACACGGCTATAATCCCAGGATTTGGGAGGCTGAGGCAGGAAGATTGCCATAAATTTGAGGCAAGCCTGAACACACAGTGAATATGGCAAGACACTGTCTCAAAAAAAAATTTTTTTTGTTTTATTTTTCAATTTCAAGTTGCTTTGTCTTTCTATTGCTGAATTATAATAGTTTTTTGTATAGAGAACAATTATCTCATCAGATATATAATTTACAAATACGTTCTCCCATTTTGTAGATTGTCTTATTTTCTTAAAAGCATCCTTTTTAAAAAATTAATTTTATTGGTAGATTTTAGGTATACAATGACATTCATCATTAGAAATTTGTACCTTTACATGATTCTTATTTTCCCCCTTCCCCTGCCATCCCTTCAAGCCCTCCACCCCTCCCTATCTACAAAGACTTTGATTCCATTTTTCATTTTCTCTTATTAATTCCATTCCTCTCTTTCCTTCCCCATTTTTTCCCCTTTTTCTAAAATTTCAGGGCTTTCAGCTATGACCCTCAAGGATAAAACAAGAAATGTTTCCTTCTTTACAATAGTTTATAGTTATTTTTCTATTTTTGTTTCTTTGTTTTGTTTTTTTGAGACAGGGTCTATGTAGTTGAGACTGACCTGGAACTCACAGTGATCCTCCTGCCTCAGCCTCTCAAGTGCTGGGATTACAGGCATGTGCCACCACGCCTGGTTCTATTTTTTTGTTGTTGTTTTTTTGGTACTGGGGGGTCGAACTTGGTTCCTCGAGCTTGCCAGGCAGGCGGCAGAACCACTGAGCTAAATCCCCAGCCCCATTTTTGTTTTTTTGAGACAGGATCTCACAATGTAATTCAGGTTGACCTTGAACTCACTATGTAGTCCATGCTTGCCTGGAACTCACAATGATCCTCTTGCCTCAGCCTCCCAAGTGTTGGGATTACAGGTGTGTACCACCACAATCCAGCTTTTTTGTTTGTTTTGTTTTGAGACAACAAATAACAAAGGCAAGTTCTTTAACACAGAAATTATAGAAGAGTGGAGATACAGACACATGCAAATAATGACTTTAATACATATCTCTCAGTGTAAGTCTAAGGAAACAGTAAAAAAAATTTAAACTAAACAACATCATTTGGCTTATTTATAAGACGGATTAAAAGTTTATGAATTCTTTACTATAAAGTTTTAAAAGGGGAGGTGGGGATTTAGCTCAGTGGCACCGCGCCTGCATGGCAAGCACAAGGTCCTGAGTTTGATTCCTGTATTGGAAAGAAATATTTATACATATCAGAAATGTTACATGATAGCATATCAGTTATCTATTCAGCATAAGAAATCACTGCAGATTTAGTGGCTTAAAACAGTCTACAAATATCTCACAGTTTCGGTGGGTCAGGAAATCAGTAGCAGTTTAGCTGGCTGTTTCTGGCTCAGCATCTCTCATGAGGTTGCAATCATGAGTTGGCTAGGGGATGGAGAAGGAAGCTGGAGGTTCTGCTCTCAAACTGCTCATTCACATAGCTCTTGGTTAGAACCCACATCAACCTTTCTAGAAAACTTTTTGAGTATCCTTGTGACATAGTGCCTGGCTTCTCCTAACAGCAAATGATGCAGGGCAGAAGAAGGATGAAGCCACAATGCCTTTTTATGATCTAGTCTCAGAGGCGACACGTTGTCATTTCCACCACATTCTGTTCATTAGAATCAAGTCTAAATTTTACCCATATTCAAGGGGAGGGGGCCTTTTGAAGGGAACAGTGAATGAATAAATGAATAATATACCACCACAGATGGCATACCAAAAATAAACATTTGGATTCATCAAAAAAATTCATCTTTGGGGCTGGGGATTTAGCTCAGTGTTTCCACTTGCCTTGCAAGCACAAGGTCGAGTTCAATAACTGGTATCAAAAGAAAAAAAACAAAGAAAGAAAAGAAAAGAAAAAAGAGTCAATGCCTAGAAAATAAGTTTCTTAAATCACAAAAAATTTTTTGTGTAAATCACTTTTACACAAGTCCCAGTTAAATTTGAGCCTTGCTTTCACAGAAATCCTTCAAGCGATGTATAAAAAGAAAAAAGAGAAGATAAAAAAGTTATAGCAAGAAATACACAGAACCTACATTTGGTCAGCAAGCTTCATGAATGAGAATGCTCCAAATTTATCTGACTTGTTGGAAGATAAAGACCTTTAGCAGATGGTGCAATTTAAAGATTTGGAAATGGCCTTTCTTGGGTTTACAAGGGCTTTGCCTTGATCCAAAGCCTCAAGCAGAGGACAGAATAAGAGGGTAAATAAAAATCACTAAGTCTGTTCTGCATGTGTATGGGATTATCTAAAACTATACAGGATAAATGCTACATATAGAAGGCTATATCTTTTCTATCTAGTTTAGCTGCTCAGTAGGTGAATTAACAGAAACCAAAATCTTAAAATATAGTTAGCCTTATTTATAATTACAAGAGTGCTAAAACTAAAGCTCTGGAGTCCAGTTCTGCTAGGTAAATGAATTAACTGGAGTCCATAGTTCTATTTACTTGCTGTACCAAACTTCAGGTTTAGCAGATCCTGACAGTGTCTAATAGTTTAAAAAATAAAACCAGTCAACAATCCTAACGCACATAGCACACTTCCTTTTTATTTTTAAATTTTATTTATTTATTTTTTTGTTATGGGGGATTGAACTTAGGTCCGTGAGCTTTCAAGGCAGGCAGCAGAACCTCTGAGCTAAATCCCCAGCCCCTACACTTCCTTTTAATAAATACAATGAAGAAACTCTCCCAATGAAAACTGAGCATATTTCAGACTCTGGATTAAAAATCTGTGGATGACTATTTCAGAACCAAATGCCAAAGTTCAATTGCTATAAACTTCCATCTTTCTTTTTAACTTCCATCATTTTTAAATGATGACAATAAATAGTGTGCCTTCCTGCTGAGGTCAGTTCCTACAAAGAGATGGCCTGGATGAGACTACTGATCTTTCCTCAACTCCTTGGGAAAGCATTATTCATGTTTACTCCAACATGCTTTAAAATTAGCCAATGTTCCATACAATCCTTTCACCCAGCCGACCTATTTCTGGGCTATTCTTTTAATGTTAACATTTGGAAAATGTTAATGGCTTCAAACTCACTATGTAGCCCAGGCTGACCTTGAACTCATGACAATCCTCCTGTTTCAGCCTCCCAAGTGCTGGGATCACAGGCATGAGCCACCATACCCAGTGTTCAACTATAATTTCTAATGATTTATGGTTATATACTTTGGAGTGTTCTATGAAGACAAGCATATTACCTATCATTGTTTCTTTGCTTTTAGTTCTTTTATCTTATTTCTTTTTCTTGATTTACTGGCCTGTATAGAACTTCCTATAAAATACCCAATAGGGCACATATTAATGGTACATGTCTGTAATCACACTACTCAGGAGAATGAGAAGGATTGCAAATTCGAAGCCAGTCTGAGCTACACAGTGAGTTCAAGGCCAGCCTGGATTATGGAGCAAGACACAGATATACACAGTGGTACCTTGGTTTATGAACTCTTCTGTTTGCAAACAATTTGGTTTTCAAGATCCTTTTTTTTTTGATACCCAGGATCGAACTCAGGCAGGCAGTGGCACCACTGAGCTAAATACCCGGCCCTCAATTTGGTTTTCAAGCAAAAGCATTTGACCAAATTTTCCTTCCATTCACAAACTTCACATGGGGGTGACAAACACAACCTCGGCTATCTTCCCCACACAAACTATCTTTCCCAAAATAATTGGAAAAGGGGAAAAAGGAGAAGATAGCTATTTTTCTCTGCTGCCTTTATTGGACTCCAGGGCCCTTCCACCTACCTGGAACTTGCCATAACCAGATTGGTTCCCAGGGCTGACACAGCTGGATCCCAGGCCCCAAGTCCCTACCCTCTCCCCATGCCCTCATCTATGTGCATACTGCCCAATTAATTATACATTAAAAAGTGTGATTACATTGATAATTTACCATAGAAATTATAGGAAAATACTTTTTAATACACACACACAATTTTTCCAATCGGGTCAGAAAGGTGTAAGAATGCAAACTGTTCACATATACAGAGTCAGCCCTTATTCATATAAACAAGGATAACTGCAGTTTTTTTAATACTCTGATCTTTGAAAATTTGGAAGAATACCTAACTAAACCATAATACATCAGGTACTTTGATTATAGACTTTAATGGTGCTTTCAGCAAAGAACAGTGGAATATCTGTCTAGCAATAGTTTATTCAATAAAAGCATTTATTTCTAACAAGAGGTCTCCAGAAAGTATTGAAGCCTTAGCATTCTTCTGACTCTTCATGGTGCTGAATCTGATTCTATAAGAAAAGTGTAAAACCTTCATACTAAGCAGCTTCACATTTGTTAATGAACAAGAGGAACATAAAGAATGAGCTTTTAGGGCTCAGGATAGAACTCAATGGTAGAGTGCTAGTCTAGGAAGTTCAATCCCCAGTACCACACACAGAGAAAAAAAAAAAAGCCTTTGGAGATAAAGAAATACTACTGATTGGTACTACAGTTTAAATTGGATATATTTACATGTGTGGGAATACATTCTATATAATGAATCAGAGTTTTGTGTATTTTTTATGCTTGAGATAAATCTTATGCACTGTACAATTTCTGAACAGGCAAAAGAAACAATTAAAACAATAAAAACTTTTGAGTTATAACCCTAGTTTCCCTACTTTGCCCTCCTTGCCAAACCTTGTAATTTTTTCATTTTTATATTTTCCTGGAATAAACAATATAAAGTGCGCAAAGAGAATACAGAAAGTCTAATCTCCATTTTGTTCCTCACTTGAGTGAGCGTAGTGACACAGACAGAACTGAAAGGTAGTATAACCAGTCTAAATGAGAATGTTTTATATTTTGGCGCATCTATTGAAAATAAAAATTGACTTTTTCTTCTGCAGGATCCCAAAGGTATATTCAAGTATTTGTATATATTACCTTACTGTCTTTTGTTTGCTAATAGAGATGTGATCTTCCCAATAAATACCTGGGGAGTTTTGAAATTTGTTTTCCTGCCTTTTGGAATAAAATTAGTTGTGAAAGGGATGGTGTATTGGGGAGATGCAAAGAGGAACCACCAGCAACTTAAACTAGGCAGTACCACTGTCTCTTTCATAGAATAAGGGTGGGAGGAGGAGAAGAGGGCCAGAATCTGGTAATTTAAGGTGACAGACACTAATAATAAGTGCCTTTGAATTTAAAAGCTGAAGCAAGAAAGGACATAATTAAATTACATGAGGACAAAGAGGGATAGAAAAAGACTAAAAGGTACTCTCAGGTCAGCCTTCCACTACAGCTGGGTACTGTTCTCCAAGAGTTCCCTAGAGAGTTTTCTACCATCGAGTGACATTTGAGGTATTAAACATGCGAGATGGGATTGGATGCCTTGAGCATATGATCCTTAAGGGGCTGACAGTACACCCTTCCTGCTGAACTAGTTTCTTATCCTAGTGTCTGATCCCTGAGCTCAGGTGTTCTCCTCTTCTCCACTACTTTTCAAATGTCTACCATTCTGTTACCAAAAGGAATGAGGAAGGACAGATCAGCTTCAGCTGTGGGACATGCAATTTGCCTTCAGAAAACCCCGCCTGAGAGAAATGACAAAGAAATCTGTATGTATTTATTAAGGGAGTATTTATGCTAAGACAGTACTAGATGTCATTTCCTCATGATAATACTGTCACCCAAGTATTACTGCAAAATTACTGAGCTTAAAGAAGCCAAGAAACCTGCCCCCTTACTCATAAGTCAAAGAGATGAAATGCAAAATAATTCTGACTTCAAAACCTATGCTTATTCTACCAGAGATCCCTCCCAAGAAATGCTAACGTGTGGATGCTTGCCTCCTTCTTCATTATATAACACCTCCCTGGGTCAGGATCATTTCCACAACACCATGGTGACTTTTTAATGAAAGTTTAACATTCTGCATATTCAGCATCTGACAAAATTCCAAAGTCTTATGACCTGCAGGGATATTAGGGTACATAGAAAGTATTTAAAATCCTAACAGAGAGGAAGTATACTAATCTTGCCAACAATAAGCTTTTTTTAAAGTTAAAAAAATAGAAAGGAAAATCGCTTCTTCCTTCATTTATTAGAATTGCTTGGAAGCAGAAGTCAGGAAATCCCCTTCCTTGATTTGTGGTATTTATGTGGCTAACTGTTGTTGCCAAAGAACAGAATTTATTTTTTTTTACCCTTTGAAAATGTCAATATTTTTTCATTCTTTAATATAGTCCAAGCTATTTTAAAGATTTCCAAATGACAAGAATTTGACTCCTTATTTTATATTCTGAGAAAATGAGGCCATAATTTAAAACTGCCCAATTACTTATACATTAAAAAGTGTGTTGATTATATTGATAATTTACCATAAAAATTATAATTATAGGAAAATATTTTTTTTTTTTTTGGTACCAGGGATTGAACTTGGGTCCTTGCGCTTGCGAAGCAGGCCACCAAACTGCTGAGCTAAATCCCCAGCCCCGGAAAACAATTTTTAAAACACACACACACA